TACCAAAAGCCATGTGCCCTGTTACTGTATAAATATTTGATGGTCTTCTTTTCAGCAAAATGCCACCTGGCCTTTTTGAGCTGAGGATTTACAAGAAGGGTGTTGGGAAAGGAGATCTCCCGTTTTATCCAGAGAGGCACAGTCTTCAAGGGAAAGGCTCTCCCCTTTCCATCTACAACACTAATCTTGGGGCAAACCTTGGCCTACTGTTCTCAAGAACCACGTGAGTTCTGTGACACATGGTCGATGCACTGAGGCTTTTGTAGATCTAAAAGTGTTCTGTTTTGTTTTTTTTTAACATTACTCCCTCTTTAACAAATTCATTTCACCAGAAATGTTTACACAGGGGCTAAGATGGAATGAATTCCTCTTAATTCTCTGGAAGCCTCCTTGCTGCCCCGCTCCTCCATCCCTCGTGATTGAGCTGATGGCGGTAAGGAGCTGGAATCCGCCTGCACCCTTGATTACAGGGACGACACAAACCAAGCCGACTGCAAAACAGTCCTTACATTTGTTGTCATATCAACTCGTAATTTCCTTGCAAATGTAATCACCGTTCAACTGATTCCTGAGAATGGGACCAGGTTGCCTGCCAATTACTCTGCTAACAGCTAACAACTCAGATGAGTTGAAAAGAAAAAAAAACAAATCTTACCTACTTCTCTCTATTTCTCAGTTCCTATTTGTCTTTACCTTACTTTCTAATTCCAGAATCTTTAGTCTCCAACATTAAGATCCTTGAGGGCATGGGAAGTTTTTTTTCCTTTTCTTTTTTACTCTTTTTTCCCTTCTTTCTCTCTTTTATTCTTTCAAAAGAAAATCTTTCCTTTCCTTCCTTCTTTTTCCTTCCTTCCTTCTTTCTTTCCTCCCTTTTCTCCCTCCCCTTCCATTGTTTCTCTCTTCTCTCTCCTTTTTCTTTCATCTTTGTCTCTTTCCTATCTCCTTCCCCTCCTTTCTTCTCTCTTTCTTCCTTTTCTTTCTCTCTCCTTTCTTTCCTTTCTCTTTCCCTTCCTTCCTTCCTGCCCCAGTTCCATCTATTCAAGTCAAGACAATAAGAATTTATTAAGGACCTACTACGTTACTGCTGGGGATACAAAGAAAGGCAAAAAATAATCCCTCCTTGCAAGGAGCTTATTGTCTAATGAAAACAAGTATGTATAGACAAGAAGTAGGATAAACTGGAGATCATCATGGAGGGAAACCATCAGCATTATGGGGGATTGGGAAAGGCTTCTCATACAAGTTAGCATTTAGGTAAAACTTTAAGGAACTCAAGTGAGGATGCCGAGGCCTAGAAGGGCCAAAGGATCGCTGACCACAGCACCAGAAGGGACCTTACAGGTGAGGAAACTGAAGGGGAAAATGGTGAATTATGGGAATTGAATGAACCACACTGACTGCATCTTGTGACCCCACTCCGGAGCTAGTTCAGTTGCTTTTCTATTCAATTACGGGTCTAATCCAATTTCTGTCTTTTGAGAAACTTTATTCAATTGTGGGAATTGGGAGAAAACTTCATTGCATTGTTTAAACCTGGCCCTGCAGTCAGTGGCTGGGAAGCTGACCACCTCTATCTTTTGCTTGGGAGAGACCCAGTCAGATCTTGAAATCAATGCAAAGAGTCTTCCCACAATCGCACATCTCAAACATCTCATCTGTCTTATCTGAAAAACTGGCCTCATGCTGGCTAGTCAGCCACTGTCTTCATGTCCCTTGGATTGGCTACAGACACTTGGAGTGAGCGGAACACCTCTTTTTCTGAATTTAGGGAATTGCACCTGCTTGCTCTCCCCCTCCCAACTTGGAAAGCCCCTTACCTTTCCTCAATTAGAAATCAGATTATCTAATGTTATACTGTTTTCTTTTAATTAGTCTTATTTGGGCGATTGTTTTAATGTATAAAATCTGTCTCCAGTGTATTTGGGGCCCAAATGCTGGTCTGCTGGGCAATCATGTTGCATTGCTTAATGAACCAAATAGGCTCAGAAGCTCAAACCTTCGCTTCCTCAGTCATTCCATCTTTCACCCGCCGCAGAGTCCGACCCCCTCATTTTATAAATGAGGAAACTGTACAGCCCAGTCAGTTTCCTGTTCCAAAGTCCCGAGGGAGAGAAACACAATAAGCCTGGGAGTGTCAGAACAACTCCATCTTTCAGTGGTGCTGATACAAATACAAATTCATGACCCAAGAACTGTATAATTCTTTTTGGCCCCTGAATTACGAATTTCATAAAATGAGAAACTCCAGGATCTGGCCTGGGTCTATATCCATACCAACTTAAGGAGAAATCTGAAAGTCACTCTATGGGGAATTCAGACTCTCAAAACACTGTCCCATTTTCACCTGCTGTGCCCCTCCCATGCCTGCACTTCTCTGTCTCCTCGTTACCCTGGCTTCCTCAAGTCTCAGCTAAAGTCCTATTTCTTCTTGATGGAAGCCTTTCCCAGTCCTTCCCCCCAATGCTGGGGTTTTCCTGCTGATTACTTACTATCTATTTTATATCCTCTATCATCCAACCATTATCTACTTATCTATTATCATCCATCTATCAGTCTATCTACCCTATTATAATCCAGCTATTATCTATCTTTTTATATCCTCTATCATCCATGCATTATTTACTTATCTATTATCATCTATCCATCCATCTATCTACCTATCAATCTATCTATTCTATATCCTCTATCATCCATCCATCTAACCTATCTCCTCCATCATTTATTGATCTACACACACACACACACACACACACACACACACGTAAATTTTTATCTATATCTTGCATGTATATTGTTTTCATATTATCTCCCCCATTAGAACACAAGACCCTTGAGGGAAGGGACCGTGACTCTGGCCTGTCTTTGCATCCCCAGCACTAGCAGTACATGGCACAGAGTGAGCCCTTATCCAAAGCTTGCTGACTGACTGATCTTTGGGGTACACAATGATTCTCCTGGGCTTTACTTTGGGGAGGATGAATGTGAAATAAAGACTCACTAACAGCATTTCTCTGGACTACCAACAGACACATTTTTAGCTGTGCCAGGTTGATTCACAAGGACACTAATTATCTCATTAGGAACCATCTCACTACTGGAGTGTGAGTTACATAAACATTTTATGATTAACTTTCTTCTTTTTTTTTTAAATTCAGGGAACGGATGTTCTGTAAGTTATTATTGTTGCTCTGCCTGGTCAACTGATGTCTCTAGGTAGCTGCTACGGCAGATCTGGGGAAGTGAGAATGAGGAAACGTGTGTGTGTGTGTGTGTGTGTGTGTGTGTGTGTGTGTGTGTGTGTGTGTGTGTAAGAAAAAGAGACAGGCAGGCAGGCAGGATCCCTGCTTCCAAATAGAGTAATGGTAAAAATAATAACAACAAGTGTTTACATAGCGCTTTAACGTTTGCAAAGCGCTTTATAAGTTATCACATTATTTAATCCTCAACAACAACCCTGGGTGCTATTATTATCCCCATTTTACAGCTGAGGAAACTGAGGCAGAAAGAGGTCAAATGATTTGCTCAGGGTCACACAGATGAGTAAGTGTTGGAGGCTGGATTTGAAATCGGCTCTCTCTGACTCCAGATTCATCACTGCAGCCACCGTCATGTGTTTATTTTAAAATCAAAATACTCACTTATGCCATCCATTCAGGAATTCCCTCCAATGATACAGACTGAAATCCATGTATACCTGCCTATCCTGTATGACTCTGGTTCATATTCTCCCCAAAATTAGAACTGGACTCTTACAGGCAACAGCTGAAATACCAGTAGTGGCAGCAGCTAGCATGTATATAGTGCTTTCCTCCCTTCTAAAATGGGGAGGATAGCATATCACAGGACTGCCACTATGATTAAATGAGATGACATCTATACAGTCTGCTAACCTTTAAAGCACTGACCGACTACTGGGTTATATATGGTGCCTTACTGATCAGAATGGTTTTGATTATCCATAGACCATTGGGAACCCTTTAGACTTGGCTCTTCCACATAGTCAACACCAACATGGCACCATGGACCTTCTATGAGTGGTCCCTCCAAGCTCAGGCTTTGTCTGAACTAAGGGAAATAATGAAAGTAAGAGAACCAGAAAAGGTCCGAGCTAGCAGAGACCTTAGGGGTACGCCTTCAGTACCTGCCTAAGAGACAGAAAACCATAGTTTTAGAGCTGAAAAGGGCCTTAGAGGTCATTCAGTCCAACTTTCTTGTTACAGAATGAGTATACTAAGACAGAAATGATTGGCTTAAGGTTAGAGAAATGGGACAGTGAGGCATGAACACCCTGCCTAGAGGGACACATGCGAGTGTTCACACCCCACCTGAAACTGTGCCTGCTGGATTCACATCCCACAATGAACTGATAAGACAATTCAGCTTCAATTGGGCACCTCTTCAGTGACCTTGGGCCATCTTCCTGGCCTTGAACAATTTCCCCACCAGCCCTGTTCCTATTTCGTCTGCTTCCTGAAAACTTCAGCCGCCATACTTTACGAGAAGCAGCACTCTGTGGTGGATTTAAAAAGCCCTGGGTTCAATCAGATCTAGGCTCCAGGGCGTATGCATACCGCCCTTCGAACCCCAAGAATCTAGGTCGTTCAATTTCTTTCTCTGCTTTTTCATTCCAGGGTGCTGCCATTGCTACCGCAAGCTGTAATAGTGTCTACAAACAATTTGCACTTCCAGAACTGCATGATCCCAGGGGGTAATTAACAAGCACAGGGAATAATCTTCCTTAAAAGCCTTTCAAAGCGACCCCGGGCCCACGCCGCCCTCAACGCAATCTAGTCGCTCATGTGTCGCTGTCATTTTGGAGCCACCTGTGCGGCTCCGGGAGGAGCTCACACCGAGCAGGGTCTTGGGCTTCAAGGGAAGTTGCCTGGAACGTGTTAATTAGAAATAAAACTCGGGCGCATTTGCTGACTGCAAAGGCATTTGCTCAGCAAGCACACTTAGAACTAAAAGAAAGACTGTTGCCAAATGGGGGGATTCCATACCGTTTACCATTCCAAGATAAAAGATGGCGTTCACCAGCACGCCCCCCTTCCGGAAGTGCTCACTCATGTGCTCCAACCAGTTCGCGTCCAGGCTGCTGACCGTCCGTCCGTTTTTGGAGACCCTGAGCGGGATAGTGACCGTGTAGTACTGTCGACACCGCTGTAGCTGGCTCTTTGGCTTGTTGAAAATGGTGAAAATCTCCATTTCTGTTCATAGTAGGAAAGGAGCAAGGACAGAAGGAGAGAGTAAAGATTAAAATGACAAATGAAAAGACTGGAGACCCCTAGACTTTTGACGTTTTGAATTATATTAATAGCTCATATTGAGCTTTTTTTAATCTGTAAAATGGGGATGATAGCACAGATGAGGAAACTGAGGCAGAGGCTAGGTGACGTGTTTAGGGTCTAGCTCTCTATTCACTGACCCACCCAGCTGCTGCCATTTTATATCTCCCTCCAGTGCCTCATCTATAGAGTGAGGAGGATGGTCTCTAAGATCCCTTGTGGTGCTAAACCTGTTAACTTATGACCTGGCTTGGAATCTGAGATCTGTCCCTCAGCACTTGACTGACCTGGATCAAGTCACCTCCCCAGGCCTCAGCGTCATCCTCTGTAAGATGAAAGAATCGAATGCTAAAGGTCCCTTTCCAGCTATAAAAGTCCCATAATCTTCAATAAGCAAACAAACAAATAAATAAATAAAGGCAAATATTCTGAGCCATGTGGAAAACACTATTCCAATTCCAGGGAGTCTCAACATTGCTGAACTTTGTATTTATAAAGTGCAGTGGTGTTTCCTGGGGCCCAACCATCACCAATACATCATCAATAAGTAAAAATGAGTACTTTCCCGTAAATGAATGTGCTGGATCGGGGGCAGGTCAATTCCGATGATCAAGGTTGGGAGGGGCACTAGAGCTGAGCTGTTTTAATTTTAATTTAATTTATAACTCCATTTTTTGCTTCTTTCCCCTCCTAAGAATCAATAATCATAACCGACAGCCAACATTCTCTCCAGTCTGAAATACGTGCTACAGGACATGGGTTAGCAATAATAGCCTCTCCTGCAAAATACCTGGGATTACAATCAAAGTTGCAGGGTCTATTTTTATAATGCGTATTGAGCCAAGCTCTGGAAGCTACCCCGGTCCTAGAAGCCTCCATTGTACAAGCAAGTACTGGCATGCACTTTGGATTCCAAAAATATCTAGTGGAATAATGAAAAAATCTCCACCCTTCTTTTCATATAAACTTTTAAAAAGTCCTAAGCAGGAGCTGAGAGCAGTAAAAGGAGCAGAGCACACCCAGCACACAGAGTCCCCAGGTACCACACACCTGGGAATGGGCTTCAAAGTGCATGCTAAATGGAAGAGACCAGGAACAGAAAAGCCGACCTGTAGCAACACTACTAATCTAATACGTGCTTGTTGGACAGGTAATGTATTGCCCTCCTATGCTCTAAGCTCCCTGAGGGCAGGTCCTGTTTTTTGCTTTGTCAGGGCATCCCCAATATCTATCACAAAGCTTTGCCCATAGTAGGTGTTTCACAGAATGCTTGCTGGATTGGTTTAGGTCAGACTGGAGGTGGAACACGCAACAAAGGAATTCCCTCAAATGGTTCAAGTCCTATAATCAATGGGGCAGGGCACATGCCTTGGAAAGGAACATTTGGAGTCTTAAAAGAAACCCGGCCCCTAAATTTCATGATTTGACAGCTGGTGCTTTTCTTGGTAATACAGCTTCAATCAGTGTGACTTTGCAAAGGGTTACCATTAATAAAAGCAGCAGGTCGGCTCGGTGGAGCCTAGAGTGAGGAAGACTCCTCTTCCTCAGTTCAAATATGGCCTCAGACATTTACTAGCTGTGTGACTCTGGGCAAGTCACTTAACCTTGGTTGTCTCAGTTCCTTTTTTTTTTTCTTAGGCAGTTGGGGTTAAGTGACTTGCCCAGAGTCACACAGCTAGTAAGTGTCAAGTGTTTGGTCTGAGGCCGGATTTGAACTCAGGTCCTCCTGACTTCAGGGCCAGGGCTCTATCCACTGGGCCACCTAGCCACCCCTGGTTGTCTCAGTTCCTCATCTATCAAAAGAGCTGGAGAAAGACATGGCAAACTATTCCAGACTCTTTACCAAGAAAACTCCAAACGGGGTCATGAAGAATTGCACACGGCTGAAAAACAGAAGGGGCAGCCTGATATAACAGATAGGACACTGGGTTTGGAGACAGAAGGATCTGAGTTCAAATCCCACCTCAGATGCTTACTAGCTGAGTGATCCCAAGCAAGTCCGTTAATCTCTCTTTGCCTCAGCTTTCTCATCTATAAAATGAGGGGCCTGGATTGGAAGCCTCTAAGATCCTTTTCAGCTCTATGTCCAAGATTCTATGAATATATATATTTTTTAAATCAGGAGTCAGGCTAAAGACCTAACAAGATGTATTGTTACCCTAAGAGACCACCTGGATAAACAGAGCCAAGAGTAATTTTTTTAAAAGGCATCACAAAGAAAGGTTAAAAGCAATCATCTCTTCACCGTGGTTAAGTGAGACCATGCAAAAACAGAGACCAGCAAAGCCCGCTGGGACAAAGGCCGTCCACGTGACAATGCAAACACCCCCCACGGCAAGACAGGCAGCCCCCACAGAGAAGTGAGGGGGATGCTGGATGACTAGGGACAGACAAGAGAAGACATAAATCCAGCACGGCACATTCACATGGCATCTCTGCCTGATTCCTCACCGGGGTGGATGGAGGATTGAAGCCACAGACAAAAATAAATTTTTCAGGAAGGAAAAGGAAATTCTGAAGGACTTTCATGTCTCACAAGCACGAGGGGTAATGAAATGTCTGGAGAAATCCAGTTTCAGGTGCATGATTCTTTTATAAATCCCTCCTTGGTCCCTCCTTCCTCTGAAAATGGAAATTTGCCAGGAGGAATTATCCTGAAGGATGCTTCTCTTGACATGTGTCAGCGGACTCTTTGAACTGCTGGAATTTTCCAGGACAGTCCTGGGTTTTACTTTCCTGGCCCAACTGCCCCTTGGGTGTGTAACAGACCTGCCCATTGGTCAACTTCAATTCATTCCAACATGTACGGAGGTTGAACAGGGAGGGTTCACTGATCAGTTCTGAAGAGCTTGCAGGGAAAAGAGCATCTTTTTGGAGACTGACCATCCCATCTCTGTCTCCCTACCGAATATGGGTTCTATTTACAGGCACCTTGTTGAAAGAACAAAAGACCATTCCTGATTCAGTCCCAGGGACTGGGGATGCCTCAAGATAACCTGGTTGCTTTGGAATCGTCCCTAGGTAAGAACTCCTAAAGGAAAATGTTTCAATAACAGAGGGTGCCCCCATCCTCTTTTAGTTAGCTCAGACGCTTGGGAGACCCTACCCCCGTTTTGCTAGACTATAAAAGGGAGCCAACAAATCTGCCTAATCTTTTTTTTTTTTTAGGAGTGGGGCTCCTTCCTACTTTTTCCCTTGCATCTTTTTTTTTTCTAGAGTGCAGTTATTAATGGTTCAAAAGCAGTTAATGGCCACCCAGGGGAAGAAGCTACATGCATTTGTATACATGGCCAAAGGATCCACCCAGGGTTAGGGTGTCACCCCATTAGCAACCCCAAGTTCAGTTCCCATCTGAGAAGAGCCCAAACCATGAAGCAGCATTGAACTAGAGAGAGACTAGGGGACCTTGGTGGAAAAGTGAGAGCCATCAGGTGGAAAAGAGAAGCGTGTTAATTACACGCTACTGTGAAGGTTTTATTCAGTTGGGGGGTTTTTGCATCTATTTACGGGGTTCCTGTTAATCCCCTGCGCTTTCTGCAATTTTGTGGAGTGAAATAAAATATATCCTAGGTATATTTGTTACTCTGAGTAATTTATAGGAGCTGGGGACCTGGCACTACATTTATGGGGATCTAGACATGAGCTACATTTGGAGATTCCCAAATTAAACTCTGGCTGGGGATAATAGTAAGAGATGCTACAAAGGCAAAATTAACAGGTACTGACCACTAACTAGTTGCATGGGGTGAAGGAGACAAAAACATTAAGAATAACCCAAAGGTTTCTAATCTGAGAGACTGAGATAACTATAGTTATGTCATCAGAAAGAAAGAATTTTGAAAAAGCAACATTTTGGGGGCAGGACTATAGAGATTATAAATTCAACATTATGTTTGAAGGAGCTAAAAGGCCCTCAGAAACCATTTCATCCAACCTCCTGATTTGACAGGTAAGGAAACTAAGGCCAGGAGTGGTACCTTCTGAGGACCCAACCTGAGAGTAGAAGACTTAGCACTGGGCAGAAAAGAATGAATGGATGGATGGATGAATGAATGAATGGAGAGATGGATGAATGAATGAATGGATAGACAGATGAATGAATGGATGGATTGATGAATGAATAAATGGATGGATGAATGAATAAATGGATGGATGAATGAATGGATAGATGGATGAATGAATAAATGGATGGATGAATGAATGGATGGATGTCGCAGCACTAGGATTTTAACTCCAGCTGACCCACTGACTCCATATTCATTGGCTGTTCTCACTGTCTCTCCAGTCTCTCTCTTGGATTTCACAGTTCACACATCGGATCAGGATCTCAGTCATGAATTAGGAATTTAACTCACAGAAAGCAGAGGGCACATAAAGTTTTTTTATATGCTCATCAATGTGTTGGCTTAAGAAAAAGCCTTGAGCCCATAAAAACCACCTTGTTTCCCTATTCCTCAAATTAATATTATAATAACAACATATCTCCCCAACTGAGGAGGAGCCTGAAGGTGGTTGTGGCTGGTAGGGGGAGGCTGAGGAAGAAGATGCTCTCTCCTGGGGATCATTCCTTCCTCCCTCTCCCTACCTCCCACTGTATGACCCCATCAGAGCCTTTCCAAAGCCCCTCACTTTACAATAAATCAAGAAGGCATCAAACAGGACCTGCCGAAACATCCCTGGCAGCTGAAGTGAAAGCAGAGTTTGGGGGAGGAGGCCAGCCACTCAGGGCCATCTGAAAGCAGTGAGACAGCTGTGTGTTCCAAACAAGCCCCAGTGAAAGGGAGGGCAGGGCTCAGAGGGGGACCCCTGGAAACATTCTAGGGAACTCTTCCATTAAGCAAAATGAGGAAATTCCCCCCCAAAGAGGAAATAAAAGTCAATGAGCGGGACCAGAAGCACTTTTGTGAGATGGGGTGAAATTCTGGAGAAAACCCAAGCAAAGCATGAGTACTCAAGCAAAGCCTCGGTCAGTGGGGCAGCCCCCAGAGGCGGACGAGGGGGGTGGAGGCAGGTGCTGTTGGGGATGGGATCTTTAGATCTTAAACAGCTCTGCTGAGTACTGTCTTTTCCCTCCTGAGCTAGAATGATGATGTTGGCTTTATGTTCCTCCATCCATCCCACAAAGTGCATAAATTAAATGATGAGGGGGAGAAGAAGGCAGGGGTACTTCCCATGGATGCGTTTTTGTTTTGTTTTTTTTTTTTGGAGAGGCCCACCGTGATTGCTGATTTAGCCTCCATAAGGCACACCTGGCAGAATCGGATGAAAACACTTAAAACCTCCTTGGGGGAGACCTGAATGGTCTGCAAGCAGACGAGGAGAAAAAGCTGGGTGGGGGTGGTAAGGGCAGCAGAAAACTGTCCAAGAAGGAACAATCACAAACCTTCCCAGGAATACGTTTAGGGGAGAAAGCCAACTGGGGGGGGGGGATTTGTGGAGTCAGAGGCCAGAAGCTGCCTTCTGAGGAGCCTGACTCAGACTCCAACATCACGGGCTTAGCACTGGGCAGAAAGGAAGGAAGGAATGAGCACCTACTATGTCTGATGTGCCAAGCACCGTGCTGAGTACTGGGTATACAAGCAGAAAAGCAAGGCAGACTCTAACCTCAAGGAGCTCACTTCTCATTAGGGGAGACAACACATACAGGGGGAGGCTAGGTGGGCCAGTGGATAGAATAGCCCAGCCTGGACTCAGGAAGAGTCATCTTTGTGAGTTCAAATCCAGCCTCAGACACTTACTGGCTGTGTGACCCTGGGCAAGTCACTTCACCCTGTTTGCCTTAGTTTCCTCATCTGTAAAATGAGCTGGAGAAAGAAACGGCAAACCACTCCAGTATCTCTGCCAAGAAAACCCCAAATGGGGTCATGGAGAGTTGGGCATGACAGAAAACGACTGAAAAACTACCCAAGAAAACCCACATAGTAGGCCTGACATTTTATCTCGAGAAGGTAACTACACCACAGAGAGCAGGAAAACGGTGCTATGCCTCTTGGTCTCCGCCCCACTAAGTCTAGCCAATGCCTAGCCCACAGAGGGTCTTTGGTAAATGCCTAATAAAAGGATATTTCAAACAATGAAGTGTTAATACGGCTTCCCTACAGCTGGAAAAATGGACTCAGCAGTCTCTAAGAACCTTCCAGCTCCAAATCTATGATTCTAGGACAAAGGGCAGGTAAATTGCTCTCATACACACACACACACACACACACACACACACACACACACACACACACACACACACACACACTCTCTCTCTCTCTCTCTCTCTCTCTCTCTCTCTCTCTCTCTCTCTCTCTCTCTCTCCCTCTAGATTGTAAGTTCCTTGAGGGCAGCGATTGTCTCTTGCCACTTTTGCTATGCCCAGAGCTTAGCATAGTGCCTGGCACACACTAGGTGCTTTAAATAAATGTTTATTGAATTGAACTGAATCTAGGTGGCATATCCACAAAGGCCCACCTTGTGAAAGCCAGTGTCAGGGGTGGGCACCTGGAAAGGAAGCGTGTGAGTACTGCAAAGGTATGGCGTGAGCAGGACACAAGGCTCTCTACTTCCCAATCTCCTCTAGAGCCACCTGCCTCTACGTGAAGTCTGAAGGGAGTCCAGACAGGAGAAAAGAAAATGGTGGTATGAAGGGAGGCCTCCCAGGCCTCACTGCTTCCTTTCCCTAAACAAGAACTTGGATTAGGGAGAAGCGGGGGAGGCATTTTCAGACCAGAGCAGAAAGACTATAGGAGGTTTTTCAAGTTAATTCCATAGCTCTTTTTGAACACCTAGGTGAGCCCTAGAGACAGAAAAGCAAAGACAACGAGTAACCCTTTACCCCAAGGAGAGCAGAGTGTATGCAGAGCAAATGCGGAGCACATGAAGGGAATGCTGTAGAATGAGTCCTCGCAGTTCAGCTGGAGGCAGTCTGCATAGGGCTTTCCTGCCAAGCTGAAGACTGGGCAGTTTTTCCTAACTGCCAAGGTGAGCCATTGAGGATTTGTGAGCAAGACAGAGACAGTCCGGTCATTTAGAAAGATCAAATCGGTGGTTTGGTGGAGTCAATTGGAATTTGACCTCAGATACTTCCTAGCTGTGCCACTCTGGGCAAGTCCCCACACCGCTGCCTCAGTTTCCTCATATGCAAAATGTGGATGATAATCAAATGACATATTTGTAACATGCTTTGCCAACCTTATAATGCCCTCTAGACGCTAGCTATTATCACAGAATGCTGCGGCCGCAAAGGGATCTCTGGGATATTCTACTCCAACCCTCTCTTTTTATGGATGAAGACACTAAGGGCCTCACAATAAAGTACTCAGCCAGGAAGTGGCTGGTCCAAGGTTCCAACTCCAGACTCCTCTGCCTCCAATCCCAACAAGTCTTTGCCTGTCCCACACTGACCTTCCTAACATTCTAGAATGAACCATTACAAATGGCTACAAAAAAACAAACAAACGAATAAATAAATAAAAAGACATCTGCAAGATTTGTTCTGAAGCAGGAGTTCTTAACCTGGGGTCCATGAATTTATTTTAAAAGTATTTTGATATGTTTTTCAATATAATTGGTTTCCTTGGTAACTCTATAGATCTTATTTTTATACATTTAAAAACATCCTTCTGGGAAGGGAGTATGGTCAGTAGGCTTCCAAAGGGGTCCAAGACACAAACAAGGATAAAAACCCCTGCTCTAAATAACAGTAATTTCAAGATGCAGGCCTGAAGGAAGGCTCCCCAAGACTGGGTCCTGGCTCCCTTCCCTCACACTTGCATACTCACAGTAATGCCGAAACGCCTTGGCACACTACAGGTGCAGCCAATATGTGTAAGGGACGCTAGTCAAAGCAACCGTTTCTGCTGTGAACCGAAGTGGGGCAAAGCTAAATCAGGGAATGTGAGTCAAGAGAGATTTAAAACAGATTTGGAGCTGGAAAGAGGACAGATTTTGAGCTAGAACGCTCCACTAGTCCAAACTCCTAATTTTACAGATGAACAAATGTAGGCTAAGTTCAGTGCCTTACCCAAGGTCATACAAGAAGGCTAGGATTTGAACCCAGGTTTTGTCTATTTGATTCTGAGCTCCGTAAAGGCTGGGTCTGTTTTTTGCCTCTTTTTGTATTCCCAGCACTTGGCACAGTGTCTGGCCCACAGCAGGCCCTTAATAAATGTTTACTGACTGCTTGACTATCTCCAAATCAATCTTTCTTTCCACTGCATTACCCTGCCACTCTACAAATGAGCAGCACACAGGAGTAAGAAGCACCCAGGTTCAAATCTCACCTCTGGTACTTAGCTCCTAGCTGAGTGAAACTGAGCAAGTCAATGAGTCTCCCTCAGCGTCAATTTCCTCATTTGTAAAATAACAGTAATATTAATAAAAAGACAACAATAACACCTCTCTCAAAGGGCTGCTGTGAGGATCAAATGGGAAAGTGTACGGATAGGGTTTTGCAGATCCTAAGGTATTATGCAAACATCTGCCACTATTAGTAATAAACAGGACACAGTCAAACCCTGCATACAACCTATTAGCTGTGTGGCCCTGGGCAAGTCACTTAACCCGGTTTGCCTCAGTTTCCTCATCTGTCAAACGAGCTGGAGAAGGACGTGGCAAACCACTCCAGTATCTCCGCCAAGAAAACCCCAAACGGGGTCACGAAAAGTCGGACACAACTGAACAACAGCACAAAAAGACAGATGACTGTTCTGCAGCCTAGTTTTAGAGCTGCCTGGAGCACAGAAATTACAGGTAAGTGACTTGCCCAGGGTCATACCATCAGGAATGGATTGAAGGATACAGTAAATCCTGTAGGATGCCTCCCGCCTTTAAATTCTTAGTGCAAAGGACCTACACGGCACTTGTAAAATGACTCCCAGGTTTGGCTGGCAGCATTACACACACGAGGCAGTTTCTCCTCAGTGCAAATGAGCTGAACATATGAACTTACGGAAATGGGGCTGCTTCCTTGGAAGCGGTCACATCACCTCTTTTCCTGCAACAAATTGTCCTTCTGGGGCTTTCTTTATGTCTGGCTTTGAGCAAACATCCCCAATCCACCCACCAACAGCCAACGCCAGGCACATTCTGTCAGGATGCCCAACACATTAGCGCTTCCTGTGCCGTGCGCAGAGTAATCTGATATTGAAGCAACAGCCAGGGTGCTAAAAGAGTTCACTCTCTTAACTCTATTTCAAAGATGGCCATGGGGGGGGGGTGGCGCCAATCAGATTTTCCACTTAACGTGGAGGCTCTACGGTATTTCAAGTTGGGCCATGTCAGTTTCCCATATATGGATGATGCACCTTTCCTCCACTCTCATATCACTTTTTTTCCTTTTCCTTAGGATGCCGTGTAAGTTATCAGAAAAATTCACTAGCATATCTTAAACCCAGTCCCAGCAGTGACCGACTTACTTCCAGCTAGGGGGTCAGAGCCTTCCCGTTTGTCTGCTGTGAATGTCCGTCCTGGTGAGGATCCATCTGCCTTCTCTGGTGAATCTGCTCCATTTCCCCCTACAGAGGAGAAGTTTGGTTGTTCAGCAACCTGCCCATCGCCTGTCCCGCGTTCCTGGGGCTCTGTGTCGCCCGGAGACCCCGCCGGCGTGCTGCTCATATCTGCCGACCCTGGGGTCTCCCTATCCAAGGACGAGAGGTCTTCAGATTGGTCTGACGTGGTTTTCCCATCTCTGGACTCCCCCGACCCGTTGGCAGTGGGGGTCAGCGGGCTGCTCCCTGCAGAGTTCCCGGGGCAATGGTACTGTGGGACAATGCCCACGAACTCTAGGCCTTGACTTGCTGCATCTTGGATCTGGGAAGTGAACAAAGAGAATGGGAAGAAAGCATTACACTGTAGCAGCAGTGGGAGAGAAGAAAAGTTGTGGGGTGGATTGGTGCCGGATGGTTATCAATTATTTTGATAACTGAGTCCAATCTTTCACTGTAAGATTTTCAAGCTTGCACATTGGCCTTTTTAATGAGCAGCCCCTGAATCTATGTCCTCCCTCACCCCAAAATCTCTACCATGCCCCCCATAATGCCAGGAGGAGGCTGTGGGGCTTCGTTTTCACTCATTCTGGCTTACAGAAAGCAGCCTCAAAGGTTTTCTTCCTTGGGGGGAGCAGAAGTGCACAGCGTAAGGTTACAGAGAATTGGAATTACCTCTCCTTGGAGCAAAGCACAAATCTCTGTTTATCATTTGCTGAAGGGTGGCTGAGAATTCCCAAAGTGGGAACTGGCATAAACACCACACAACGTTTTGAGAGAGGAAGTTAATTTCTGGAGAAGTTTTATTTTTGTCCCCCCTCCCTGATTTTTTTTAAACAAATCATCTACTTCCTGCCAATCAAGTCACTGTATAAACACAGTATGTCTATATAAACATATACCAACCACCTGGTGGTATTTTATAACCTCAAAGAATTTCCTTTTAAACAATTGTTTTTGCAGTGGGAGGTGGGGGCAGGGAAAGGAATTTGGGGAAGAAAGGGATTAACCATAAGAAGTGATGAAACCTGATGGATACAAAGGACCCCCTTTCACCCCACACCCCTAGGTTCTGGGATGAGCCCGAGGCCTGTCCCTGTCCCCATCCAATGGCACATTAGAATGACTGCTGCCCTCAGGATGCCCATCCCAAGCCCCAGCCGGTACACCCTGCTCTGGGCACTCTTCCCTGACTTTTCACAAGGATGAGACATGACACCCAAGTACAATCACGGATTTGCATTTTAGCACTTTTTTCCTCCCTTAAAAAAAGCAAACAATTGTCTCTCTCAGCGAGAAGATGACAGTAGAGACAAAAAAAGGAAAGCAATACCCTACTCAGACTCAACAAGAAGCCAGAACACTAAAGATGGACACAAGGGGTCTTTCTAGGGAATGCATCTGATGTCAATTCCTCGAAAAGACAAACAAGGCGCCATGGAGGGGTTTGGTCCCAATCAACAGCTCTTGCATGACAATACTCAAAAACCATTTTCGCACTGAGGCAGAATCCCAGTGGAGAATTTACCATATGGATAAGAGTCACAGACCCAGAGTCGAAATGGACCTCCAAGGCCGCCTAGTCCAAATTCCTCATTTTACATAAGAGGAAACTGAGGCACACAGACATTATGACTTGTCCCTAGGTCACTAAGGAATTTAGGGGCAGATCTGGAATGCAAGCCCAGGTCTCTGGATGACAAATCCACTTGTATCATACTCCGGTGGAAAGTAGGGGTAAGATGAGGATGCACAGATGGGCTACAATCTTCAGCCAGGGAGAGAATGCACAGGGATAAGATCACAAAAAAATGGAAGCATTCAAGTGGAAATGCAGCATGGCTCATACAGTGGAATGACCAACTGCCTTTGGACTGGGAGGACATGAGTTTGAATCCTGACTTCACCTCTTCATTTTCCATGTAATCTTAAAAGTTACAACTCTAGGCCACATCTCTGGGCCTCAGTTTCTTCCATCTGTAAAGTGAGGGAGGTCAATGAGATGGTTTCTGAGGTCCCTTCCAGCTTCAAACCTTCAAAGCTAAGACTGTTCGAGGTATTGTCCTACATCTCACAAATTCCACTAATTAGTGAGCAAAGTGTGAGCTGGCCTTGTCCCCTGAACACCTGTGTGTATATTTCTTTATGCCCACATTTGCCTGTATTTATTATCTTAAAAAAAAAAACCATAACTTTACTCCCACTCTAAAAAAAATAGAAACATACTTCTTTCTGATGGAGAATTTCAAAGGCTTAAGTTTCTGCTAGAAGTCTGAAGCTAACTACCTCCATAATTCAGCACTTTTAATGGGTGACTTATCCTGCTACTTCCTGGGCCCTAAGACAAGCCGACCTCCCTACACCTGTCACAGGACTGAAGACCACCAAAAGGGCTTCACGTCCCCTTGTCCTGACCCTGCTCATCTACTGTGGCAGGCCACCGGAGGAAAGGCTTCAGCCAGAGCAAGGGCTATTCACACAGTACCAGCACACAGTAGGTGCTAAATAAATGCCTGCAGACTGACTGACCTCTGTCTGCACAACTAGGTACCTTCATGCCGTGAGAATAACGATAATGATTATAATAACTAGCATTTATTTAGTGCCTTAAATCTTGCAGAGGGCTTTCCACGAATTCTCTCATTTGGGCCAGCCCAGGGTCACACAGCTAAGAACATTTCTGAGGCAGGATTCAAACTCAGGCCCTTCCCGATTCCAAGTCCAGTCCCCCCGACCCCCATGCCACCGAGCTGCCATGGGAACTTTAGCGGGATGAAGCACTGAAGGAGACAAGAAACCAAGCTACCTGTACGTGGCTAACTTCCGGCAGCAGAAGTGGGACAGCACAGAAAGAGCGTGGGTTCTGAAATCAAAGGACTTGGATTCGTGTTCCAGCTTTTTCACTTACTATCTTTGTGGCCTTGGAGAAATCACATGTCCTCCTTAGCCTCAGTTTCTCCATCTGTAAAATAAAGGGCCTGAACCAGATGATTCCTTCCAGGAGTAATAATCTCTCACCTTCTGCAGGGCCAGACCTCTCAACTGTGGTCTAAGAATTAGGGGGAATTAGTCACAATGAAGGCAATTTTCTGCAGCTAAAAAAGCCATTAAGTTGTAAATGCCTTTTGATCCACCAATCTCGCTCTCTAGGTATGTATACTCCAAGATAGTCAAAGACAGGAATAAAGTCCTCATATACACCAAAATAGTCATGGCAGCCCTTTGGTGGCAGAGAAAGAAAAAAACAACAAAGGAACGTCATCCCCTAGGGAATGACGAAGCAAACTATGGTATGCAAACGTCATCAATTATTATCAAACAAGGAACAACAGACACAAAGAATTCAGAGAAATCTGGGGAGATTTGTTTGAGATGATACAGAATGAGATAAGCAAAACCAAGATGATAATACGATGGCCTCAATGACATACAGAAAAAAACAGTAACACACAGCAGAATTCCATAGTAATTCATCTAAACACCCAAAACATGCTCCCCTTCTGCCAAGACAAAAAATGGCGGACTACCATGTGTATTTGTTCCAAAGATTCGGTTTGGTTTTCCAAAGAACAGTGGGGGAGATGTGGGAGAGAGAGAGAATATGGATTTCTGTTCACTAAAAAAAACAGCAGACCATAGGTACAGAATGCTATTCACATTCTCTCTCTCTCTCACACACACACACACACACACACACACACACACACACACACACACATCTCTCTCTCTCTCTCTCTCTCTCTCTCTCTCTCTCTCTCTCTCTCTCTCTCTCATATGTTCATCAGGGCTGATGTTTCAGTTGACTGAACTGGATATACACATATACATATATACACATGTCCGTACATATGTAGGTATGTCTATCCATATATACACACCTATGTGTATCTGTGTGCATATATACACATATATAAAGATTTATCTATATAGCTACAGATCTGTATATCTATATAGACATCTACAGAGATCTAGATACACAAATGTACATACACACATATCACAATCCAACTATGCATCTACAGATCTGTAAATCTCTCTACAGAGGTCTATACATAAACATATAAAGATCTAGCTATATGTATCTACAGATCTGTGTATCTATACAGACATCTGTAAAGATCCACAGAGACATACAAACAAACATACATATATATCATGATCTAGCTATGTATCTATAGATCTGTAAATCTCTCTATAGAGATCTACAGATATCTATATAGATATACAAACATATAAAGATTTAGCTATATAGCTCCAGATCTGTGTATCTATCTATAGATATAGACATTTATAGGTATCTCTATAGATGTATAGGTATCTCTATAGATGTACAAACACACACACACACATACGCACATTATATATATAATACAAACATATAGACGTGTGTGTGTATTTGCAAGGGAGGGGTATGTATGTCATTGGTTACTGGAAAGTGAGAGCATTATTAAAAGCCATCAAAAGCATCAAGAGATGAGCACAACAAGGAAAACGAAGCCACCAACTGGGCTGAGAAGCATGGAAGACGGAGCACACTAAAACAAGGGAAGCTTATTCTAATTAGTTCATCAATTGGTCAGTCCACACCAAGGTGCAGAGCAGCATCCTACGGGGACGCCAGCGTAGCCAGCTAGCCACGCTGACGGGAAGAGCAGAATGGGGAAAGTCTGGAGACGAGCGAGGACAGACTGATGGATCCAGGCTGTGAAGGTCACGTGTACGTTGTACACACACGGGCCAAGGACACAGCCTACAATTACCCTTCTTCTAGTTCTCTCTTGTGACTCATGCACCCGAGTTCTCAGAGAGTTGACATTTAGCGGGCCTTTCTCAAATGTCTTTAAGGGTGCCAAGGGGAACGAGCAGACATAAACAGGAAGACACACAAAAAAAATCATGCATCAGATTTCAAATTCAAAATGGCACCAACATGCTGGGACGCCAGGAGAACTCAATTTGTGACCAGAGGACCTACTAAGGGTATGGCCATGGGCTTTGTCATCAGTTTCCTCTTCTGTAAGATGGGAGAGTTGGTGCAGAGGAACTCCAAAATCCCTTATGATCTTATGATCAATGGTTGGTCTCTGACAGATCACATAATTACTCAGTTATGTCATCTGTAATGAGAGGGCTGAACAAAATGACCTCTAATGACCTTTCCAGCTTAGAGGCCTACAGTTTATCTGATGAAGGGAAGGGGAAGGAAATAAGTACTCACTAAGCAACTCTATGGGGCATCGCTGACCTCATCTGACCTGCTGATGATGATGCAAGTGGAAGGTGGAGATAACCTCATTGTGGGGAAGTCAGTGATGAGGATGAGCG